TGGATCCAACTAGTCCCCGTGTGTTCGTCTGGAGTGGGCAGAGAGCGTGGGATGTCCCAGTGCTTGGGTGGGTATTACAAACTTGGGTACAGTATACAATTTGCAACAACAAAAACAATTAAACAAAGTATAATACAGTGGTTACTTTCAAGAATAAGTGCCCTGTTGCGGCACTTCTTAAGTGGGGGTTACTGTGTACGGGTCAAGCCCGACGGGCAGCAGCTAGGGGCTCAAAATAACTTGGCCATCCCGTGATGAAGCGTGCACCGGTATTAACTATTCAGCAAAGGCTGTATCACCCATAGTTCCCGTTTTTAGCAGTATTTCCTTTTTTTTTATTATTTAAATTTTTTTATATTTATAATATTGTGGACAGCATCTCGGTTATACCCTGGTGCTGTTTGGTATACCGCTCTATATATAGTTATAGCCATTGGGAGGGCAATAGCCAGCAGATATGCTGTACCTGGCTTTTGTTGTCTGGGGACTGGCTGTGGGTGCTGTATCCATGGGTCCGTGTATAATCTATTGGGCTTATCAAAATTTATACATTCTAATACACGTTAACTTTGCCCTGATAAACTAAACTAGCACACAATACCTCAACACATTGGGCTTAACAGTTAGAAAACTTGCTTTCGTGTTGGAGGTCTGTGTCCTCTTTCGGGGAAGCTTATCTCGGTCTAGGCAGCTGCCATTCTGCAGTCAGCTTCTGACTTGTGCTTTTACTCTTGGCCTGTTCACTTGCGTAATAGCTCTGTGCCTTCTTCTGTCGAAGCAGCTGTCACTAGCTTTCCTCCCTTTGTTATCAGGAGCTTGGCTGGATACCACAATCTGTAGGGGATTTTATGGTGCCTTAGTGTTTTGGCAATGTCTTTATATGACCTCCTGCATCGTAGCGTTTCTGCAGAGAGGTCTATGAACATGAGGATGTCTTTGAATTTTTCAGGTAAATCTTTCCTGAACCTGTGGGCTTGTGGGAAAACACAATTTTAAAGAGCTTAGTAAAATTACAAGTCAGTGGATTTTCATGGTGGATACCTTTATCACCCAAAGGGTTGAATTTAGATTTTAAACTTGTTCATGTTTTGTAGATTTTTTTACTAAGATTTATACATTGGTTTCTTTTACAGATGTTTTTACAATTCTTATTCCTTTTTTCCCCATTCAGTGTGATATTGCAGATTTTTGGATAGTTTAGCATTATAACAACTACCGCCTTTGCCTGCATTAAATATGTCTTCAACACTGTAACGGTGGGAACACAAGGGATGCAAATGCCGTGATTCTCAGAAGTGACGGCACTTATAAAGTTTCAGATGCACATACATTGATTTATTGGCATTGATGAAAACTGTTGGCTAAGTCAAAACACGTATGCTATTTTCTTTTTGTTTGAAAGTGGGGCATGAGTGGTGTATGACATATTATCATACATCTTACAGTGCAATATTCCATGTGTATATTGTTTTATATTTAAATCTTTTGTCAAAGTTTTTTGATATTTTGTCAAGTAATTATTCATATTTTCTTCTACTGCTTTGAAAAGCTAATTATTCTACTGGATTGGAGGCATGGATAGGCACCTTTTGGATTTACAGTAGTGCCTGGCAGAGCTCCACATATTGTGCCACAGTCACCCTCACATTGTGAGTGGTATTCCTCTTTCAACAAAAAAGTGTTACTTTTCACATTTCTTTTATTTCTTATGGGATTCAAATTCAACTGTAGACACAATCATAAAACAAAACATGTCAACAAAGAAAAAAATGAAATGACCCCTGTTCAAAAGTCTGCATACCCTTAGATAATACTGGATATTGCCCCCTTTAGCATCAATGACATGCAGTCTTTTGTAATAGTTGTCTATGAGGCCACTAATTATTGCAGATGGTATAGCTGCCCATTCATCTTGGCAAAATGCCTCCAGGTCATGTAAAGTCTGTGGTCATCTTGCTTGAACCGCACGTTTGAGATCTCCACACAGTGGCTCGATGATATTAGGGTCAGGAAATGTCCGTGTGCTTAGGGTCACTGTCATGCTGAAAAGTCCAAGAGTGCACAGCCTTCGTGCAGAAAAATGAAAATTGTCTGCCAGTATTTTCTGATAACATGCTGCATCTATCTTGCCATCAATTTTCACAAGATTCCCCATGCCTTTAGAGCTCACACACTACCAAAAGATCAGCAAGCCACCACCATGCTTCACAGTGGGGATGGTAATCTTTTCACTCCAGGCCTTGGTGACCCCTCTCCAAACATACCGCTTATGGTTGTGACCATAAAGCTCTATTTTGCTTGTCACTCCAAATTACAATGTGCCAGAAGCTGTGAGGCGTGTCAAGGTGTTGTCGGGCATACATTAACCGGGCTTTTTTGTGGCATCGGTGCAGTAAAGGATTCTTCCTGGAAACTCGATCATGCAGCTAATTTTTGTTCAAGAATCGTTCTACTTCTTAATAAGTGATTGAACAGTTCTGACTGGCATTTTCAAGGCTTTGGATATATTTTTATATCCTTTTCCATCTTTATAAAGTTCCATTACCTTGTTACACAGGTCTTTTGATAGTTATTTTCTGCTCTGCATGGTTCAGTATCTAGCCTGCTCAGTGAATCCATGTGAGAACTAACAAATGCATTCACTACTTTTACACAGACACTAATTGCAATTTTAAAAGCCACATGTATGGGAAAGTAACCTTTAATTGCCATTTTAACCTGTGTGTGTGTCTACTTGTGTGTCTGTAACAAGGCCAAACATTCAAGGGTATGTAAACTTTTGATCAGGGCATTTTAGTGATTTTTGTTATCATTATGTTTTAAAAATGAGTGGTAATAAATGGCTTCATATGATCACTATCCTTCAATAAAACTTTTTTTTTGTAAAATCAGTCATATTTTCAAAATCAATGTCAAAATTTCTCAATTTTTGCTAGGTTATGCAAATTACCGAACAACCGCACGAACCAGAGACCACCCTGGAACTTGTTAACACCTATTAACAACTTGGAATGCTTCTTACATAAGTGCTCTAATTGTTCTTCTGGGTGTCCGCAATTCCTATGGACAACCAATTCCTATGAACGCAGACAGCGGTGTTTGGGCATGAGTCTCATGGAACCAAAATTGGATACACAGTGCACAGATTAATGAATAAATCATGATTACAATTTATCACATTGAATTTAGGTGGCCAATGCATCATTACATTCACTTTGCAAAAAGGAGGAGGAGAGAGGAACTTACTTATGATCTATCTCCTTTACAAATGTATTAGCCGCCTGTATGGGAGGCGTGCAGCCTTTGAAGTACTAACAGAGCCATGCCGTTGCCCTGTGAGTGCTGGAGCTTGGCCATCAGATTTATACACCTTTTAGGCTGCTGATTACATAATACATCCCCTTAGTTTAACCCCACTCCTGACAACAGCAGATATTAACTGTGATATCAATAATATGCTGCTGCTTTCAGACAGTATTAAGCGCAAAGGCAGATCATAGCACACTCTCCAGGGCAGCATTTCAGTTATCTAATGGCTAGGTGAAACGTAGAGCACTGAATACTGGTTTATTCCAGCCTTAGGCAAAAATAGGTGACTTAGGCAAAAATAGGTGATTTGGAAAAGTTCTCCTATAGCTTGGCTATTCCAGCCTTCATTTTACAATTTGATTTAGATTCACTAAAATGGGAAGCTCAATGCTGTGTTGTATCACACTGATATTTCTGTATGAGTTAAAATGTTATATTTGCAAAATATACTTTTTATTTTACTTATCCATGGACAATAGTTTATCTGCGCCCTTGTTATCTATACATTCTATATATTTAAAATAAATGTAATGCTAATATTTTTTAGGAAAAATAAGGTGAATGCATTTCATGTTAGTGGGGCTCCTTTAGCAACCAAAATACAAACACAAAAACAAAACAAAACACATTTAACTCATAAAAGGCTACTTAACATAACCTTAACAAACAAATATGGATATTTAGTCATACCATATGTGCATACCACATTAAACCCACCACATTGTCAAAGTACCCTTATGTTGTTAGAGCATATGCTAATTTTAACATTGGAGATAAACATCCTAACTGCAATACTTAGTGCTGCCAGAGACTCTCCTCAAATTATGTTTCCTGTGATCACTTCCAGAAGGCACCAAGAGTGAAAGGTTGGGGTGCTCAACCCAAAAGGAAATCTTGACTGGATGTCAAATATACTTAGGAAAAAACATAAAAAAATAAATAAAAAACATGCATTTCTTTGTAGTGGTAAGGCCATATGCAGTATGCAAATCTCCATATTTGGGGAATTAACAATATATTACAGTGAGAGCTGCAATTGGAACAGTTTGATATTATCATATGGTATATGGATTTAATATATACTTTTTGTACTGTAACAGTCAGTTGTGTTTCAGGAGATATAAATAAAGAGACTGCAAGCTATTAGTGTATAGCAGCCATGTTTTAGGAGATACAGGAAGGAAGTACACACCCCAACAGGAAACTCGTGCAATAGTGAATAAACCATAGAGTTAGTTGCATGTAGACAAAACCTAACATCCATATCATCTCCTTCTTTTAGTATTAATAAATCAACATTGTGAAACACTGTCCTTGTAATAACATTCTAGAAGTTAAGTCTCTCAGGTGGTTGTGAATGTCTGCCACTACGAGTGACGACTGGTCCAGGTTGTACAAATAGTCTTTTAGCCCTCTCTGGACTCTTACTGGACTATTCCCACCACTTACTGGCATGATTTGAACTTGACTGCTGTCAGGTCCTGCTTGCTCAGGGCTGTCATTAGTACTAGTCTGTGGTATCACTTCTTCACTGCCGACATGTGAGTGTGTCCTTGGAATACTAGGAGTGTCTGGCTTGTCAACTGGATATTGAGAATTGGGCTTCTCAGCCACTCGCAGATCCACACGATTGCGTCGGTAGAGACTTCCTTCGATATCCACAAGATAAGAGCGTGGTGCAATCTTTTGCAGACAGGTTCCCATTCTCCAGCGGCCTGTTCGATCTCCAGGAAGCTGTTTCATACGGATTTGTTCCCCAATATTCAGTTCCGGTAAATCCCTAGTAGATGAGTCATATCTAGCCTTAAACACTTGCCTCTTAACTTTTCTGGTACACCTTTTATTACAGAGGGTTCAAGTAGCTTGTTGGCTACTGGTAAGGAGCTCTTTAATCTCCTTGACATCAGTCTCTGTGCCGGACTACTATCCATACCCTCTGTTGGAATGTTTCTCCAATGTAAGATGGCTTTCCATGGGTCTTTACCATCGCTTTTAGCTTTTTTGCATAAATTATTCACTATTTTCACAGCAGATCCAGCTTTGCCATTAGCTTGTGGATGACGTGGTGAAGAAGTCACATGCTCAAACTCCCATTCAGTAACAAATTTCCTGAACTGTAAGCTTGCAAACTGAGGACCATTGTCAGAAATCACTTTAGTTGGTTGGCCACTGTAAAGGATCCTTGCATTCGTGCAGCGATGATCCTTGCAGCTTCTCCCGAACTCCAACTGAAACGAAGTGATTATAACTCCCAATCCCCCAAACATGAGTAGAGACTTCATGAAGGGGTAAAACGATCTGATTTACTGTGGGCTACCCGCCCGGTATTTATGCAGGTCTTCCACCTGGTGGACACTCCCCTAGGGGACCAGATGGAAGACTGGGACAAAAGTAACACAGTAGCCAATCACAGTGGCTATAGTATAAGCACTCCCCTTTTACCTAAATCACTCCCTCTTTTCCATCCTGGAGATAATTAAATTAAGGTAGCAAAGAGAGCCTTAATTATCTCCAGGAAGAAAGAAACATGGCTTTTCTTAGTTAGTAAAAACAGAATAAAAATACATAACTTTCTTTTTACACAACATAAACTTTAAGTTCCACATATCCCCAGATAGCTTGGATCTGAGGGCATATTCTAGGCGAATAGCGCTCAGATCCCACGAACACAGGTCTCAGAATCGTCGACTGAAGTTGGCCTTTCACCGGCCGTTCGTGTGTTTGTAGCCGACTGCAAGTTCCATATTCTAACTATCTGGGGTCGGTTACGTTCGCATACTTTCAGCGCACGAATTAAGTATTATCCCCTTCATTCGTGTGTTTTCCACCGTATGAACGAGGATGAGAGAAGGTAACAGCGGTGTTCAACAAAATAGGTAGCCGAAATCAGTTCCAGGGAATCCGTGCCATTTACCGCTGTGCGTTCGACAAAACAAAATGGCGATTGCCACGTGTTCGGTAGACGAACGTGGACCACCCGCTATTCCCCAATTAGTCTGTGGTTAACCGCAACAGTCAGGGTGGTCAATAGGCGCCACATGACCTCAGTGGGAGGTCGGGGTTCGGTAGTTCATTCGCATTTATTGTTATTTCCACGAAATCCCGCTGTAATTCTCCAAATAACCGAACAGGCTTGTTCGTATAGTCTGTAAATAGGGGATTTCGTTACAGCCACGATGTGCAAATTGCGCCTTGCATCGGTTAATTGTAGTTTCAGTGGACAGGTCAGAAAGCAGTTCAATTTCCCAGAAATCTGAGTAATAATCGACTAAGAGCAGGTACTCTTTTCCAGCATGGTTGAATAAGTCCATGCTTACAATCTGGCAAGGACGTGTAGGTATCTCATGTGACATCATGGTTTCTTTTTGTTGCGAGTGTGCATATTCATTGCAAGAGGGACAATTCCTGACAAAGTCTTTGATTTCACCTTGCATGTTGTATTACGAGCTTGTCTGTAGCAAGCCTCACCTCCGATGTGTATGCGCGATAACATCTCTGCTCTTAGTGACTTCAGCACTATGACCCTTGGACATTTGTACAAGATACCATTTTGTATGCTGATCTCATCTCTGAAGGACCAATATTCCTTCACAATTGCAGGTGCTGCATTCTTTTCATCTGGCCACCCCATCAGAACTATAGACTTCAGTGCTTGCAAAGTTGCATCACTTTCTGTATGCTGTATGAGCTAATGTAGCTGCTGATCTGTGACATTAAGATAGTCTACTTGATTGACTTCAGCAAAGAAATTCTTGATTGACTTCAGGTGCCATGTGTTCCGTTGTAGCTCTGCTTAGGGTGTCACTGATGTACATTTCAAATCCTGGCTTGTACACAACATTGAGATTGTAATTCTGCAATGTAAGCATCATGCTCTGCAAACGCTTTGGAGCACATAAAAGCAGCTTCTTGAATATGGCTATTAGCAGTTTGTGATCAGTTTCAGCAATGATTGCATCCCGGCCGTAGAGATAATGATGGAAATGCTGACAGGCAAAAACAATGCTTAAACATTCCTTTTCAATCTGAGCATAATTTTGCTCAGCTGAAGAGAGTGCTCTGGATGCAAATGCAACTGTCTGACCTTCTTGCAATAGACAACATCCTAGGCCATTTTTGCTTGAGTCGCTTTGTATTGTAACAGGCTTTTTTACATCATAATATTTTAGCACTGGGGCAGCTGTGATCAATTGTTTTATTTCCTCCACTGCCTGGTCATGCTTGGGAAGCCAATGCCAAACTGCATCTTTATCTAGAAGCCTTCTCAATGGCTCACACACCTGAAATTTGCTAGGTATGTGACAAAGCCAATAAAACGCTGCACTGCTTTGGTGTCACCAGGCCGTGGCATGTCCACAATGGCTCTAATCTTATCTGGTTCAACTTTCAAGCCTTTTTGAGACAGGATATGTCCATGGAAGCAGACTTCTTGTACCTTGAATTGTAATTTCTTTACGCTGAGTCTCAGCATTACCTGCCTGCAGCGATCCAATAATGCTACTAGCTTCTCATCATGGTCATGCTCAGCTTCCTCATCTGTATTACCACAGCCAATTATAAGAATGTCATCTGCTATTGGTTCAATACCGTGGAGCCCACTTAACAGTTCATGTTGCTTTCGCTGGTATACTTCTGGGGCTACGGAGACTCCAAACGGCAGCTTGAGCCATCTCTTTCGGCCCCAGGGAGTCCAGAAAGTGGTCACGTAGCTACTCTTTTCATCCAGTTTGCACTGTAGAAAATCAACTCTTGCATCAACAAGTGTAAAAACCCATGCTTTAGGCAGTTTGTGCAAAACATCCTCAAGTGTTGGCATTATGTAGTGTGACCTTCTCAGGACCATGTTAAGAAACTTTGGATCAATTCAAATTCTAATCTTTTCATGCTTTCTAATAACTACCATGTTGCTTATCCAGTCAGTTGGCTCTGATACTGATATAAGATGTCTGTCAGCTTCATACTTATCCAGTTGTGCTTTTACCTGTGGCTTAATGGCTATAGGCACATTGCGTGGGACACATTGTACTGGTAGAATGGTAGGATCCAATTCAAACTGAACCACTCCTGGAACAGATACTACTGGGCCAGTAAACACATCATTATAGACATTGAGGATTTGCAGTTTTGTCAGTGGCCCAGTCAAGGGCTTTGCATGCTGATTATCAACATTGTGCAGCTCTGCAGGAATTGTGAATTGCATCAGTCCCAGGCGCTCACATGTTGAACCAGACAATAGCGGTTTCTGATTGGCTTCAACAATCTCAAATTCAAGTTTGTGTATATTTTCACGTATGCTGCACTCTGTTTGGAAAAGTCCCAATGATTCCATTAGTTCCTCTGAATATAGTTTCAGCTCGGTGCTGCTGGGCTGAAGTGGTGCCCTAGGTGCCAGTTTAATTTTGTCTTTCAGACTCATGACATCACATGTTGCACCAGAATCCAGCTGGCAGGGTTGGTATATATTATTCAGTCTGAGATTTACATCACATCATTGCTAAACAGGAGTGCATCCTCGGAATCAGACATGTGTTCAATTGTGTTTAGCTTCCTTGCTTCCTTTCTTCTTGACAGACATACTCCACATGATCTACAGGTTTTCCCATATGCAGGACACTGTTCTTTCTCTCTCACATATATACTGCCACAGTACTTACATGATATAGACTTGCTCACAGGTGAGGTGTTTTGGTGTTGGTGCTTTTGCTGGTGGTTCTTTGAGGTTAGCTGTTGCTTAACCCTAAAGACCAAACTTCTGGAATAAAAGGGAATCATGACATGTCACACATGTCATGTGTCCTTAAGGGGTTAAAGGCTGCATGGATGCTGTCAGCCTGTTTATCCTGCTCCATAGCTCTCATATGTTTGTCAGTAACTTCTGCAGTGCGACATATCTCAATTGCTGCATGTAGGTTTAAATCATGTTCCCTCAATAGACGGCGGCGGGATTAGTATTAATACCTATAACTATTTTGTTACGAATAAGTTCATCTCTCAAGGAGCCATACTCAGAGCTTGCAGCTTTTTCTCTTAGCCTTGTGACAAAGTTGATTCACCTTCTTGCTTGCAGCTGCCAAATATATATCTTTCATATATTACATTTTTTTGCAGGTCTGAAGAAAGCTTCCAATGCATCAAGGATGGCTTTAGTGTCATGCTTTTGTTCCTCTGTGAGGTTCAAATTATGCTTGTAAACATGGTAGCACTCACTGCCCATCACCCTCCTCAGTGTGGTTGCTTGCACTGCTGCAGGCTTCTCATTCAGCCCTGTAGCTAGGGAGTAATCCTCAAACTCAGCTCTGAAGTTATCCCAGTTACTGCTGCAATCCCCACTCACCCTCATTGCCTCAGGTAGTGGAATGCTATTAGCATCTGCCAGGATGCTGGTCTTCTTGCTTCCAATGCTCAGCTTGCAGGATAGTAGCTGTAATTGCCACAGGAGGCACAGTCACTTCCAAAAAGTCTCTCACTGCAAGCTCCTGGCATCAAATGTGTGAAAAAAGATCAGGTTCAGATACTTCTGACACCATGTTTCAGGAGATATAAATAAAGAGACTGCAAGCTGTTAGTGTATAGCAGCCATGTTTTAGGAGATACAGGAAGGAAGTACACACCCCAACAGGAAACTCGTGAAATAGAGAATAAACCATAGAGTTAGTTACATGTAAACAAAACATAACATCCATAACAAATTGTTTTGCAAGCCTCTGAAGTGCTGAGTTTTTAGTCCTTAGTCAACCGCAGCTGCAGGTTCTTCTGTCTCCTGTGTTGCTCTTAGTTATAATACTAATTTCTATTAATTTATGCACACTTTTATATTTTAATATGCTCCTTAAGTGAATCACTATAGGAATTTAATAGATTCAGTTACTTCCCTGTAGAGGGAGCACTGGACATGTGCACATCAGGGAAAAGAGGGATGATATGACAGACTCTACACAGAATCAGGGTTATTCACTGTTATTCACTAAAGTGAGAATTCAAAGAAAATTTCAAATTTAAGGCCAAACTAGCCAAACTGAAAGCAAAGCTGACTGAGATATTTTTTTTTTAGTTCTGCTAGTTTGGCCTTAAATTTGACATTCACTTTTAATTCTAAATAACCTTGATGGATTTTGTCCGACCTCCTGTTCCCCAGAAATGGCTGTTGACAATTGTTATAGGGGAGTGAAAGCACTATTTAAAGTCGCTACACATGACATGTTAGGGCTTTTAGCACTATCACTATAACATTACATCATATTATGTTTACTTTACAGTTAAATATCTTACTGAAAAATGAATCATTACAAGTACACCTTTAGTAAAACATTTTCTAAATATATAGCCTGTGTTAACAGCTTATAGTAATGCCAGCAATGGACAAAGTGACAAAGTGACTAATTAATAGCCAATCATATTTCAGTGTTGATTATGAAAAAGCTGCATAGGCATTCGCTGTGGTCTATGTAAAACAGGTGTCCACTCCAAATAGTGTCTGAGTCACAGTGTGTGTGGGAGTAGCAAGCAATGAACACTTGTTCGTCATCCAATGGCAGAAAAAACAACATTCTGTAAGAGTAAATTTTCAGATTGTAAGCTTTATGGCTCAGGGACCTTATGTCCTAATGTGCACATATATTGGAATTCCTTTTAAAATATCCATATAACCATTGCATTTACTGTGCACCTACTCTACTGTGATGAATTATGTAAAGTGTTATGTATCATTAAATTAAAAATAATACTTGTATCTTGGCATAAAAATAATGAAAAAAAAAAATTTATTGCAGGTATTTGCAATCTTGGATCAAATGAAATATGTGGGTTATTATCAAGCCCTTTAGCGGACTCATCAGAAGTGTCCATTTTTTATTTTAATAATCAATAAAAATAGATCTCTAAAAATCATTACATTATTGAAACTCTATATATGTTTCTAGTATTTTTAGTTTTACATTATTTGCAGGTATATTTTCATTCAACCATGCTGAGTTTATGAGTTCTACAAATCAGTAGTATGACTTTTTCATGTTTAACCCCTTAAGGACCAAACTTATGGAATAAAAGGGAATCATGACATGTCACACATGTCATGTGTCCTTAAGGGGTTAAAGGAACACTATAAGGTCAGGAACTCAAACATGTATTCCTAACCCTATACATGTATTTCTGGCGTCCTTTGCCCCCTTAAATATAGTAAAATTTCATATTTATTCCAGTGTGGTGGTGCTGGTTCTGCTCCTGATCTGCTTTTCTTAGCTAACATCATCATAAATGATGATCTCAGCCAATCACAATGCTTTCCTATAGATCAGTGGATGGAGATCATGCAGAGGATGGAGACACTGAATGTTAGCACTGACCCAGGGAGCACATCTAGTAGCCATCTGAGGAGTGGCCACTGGAGGTGACCCTTGGGAGTAATGTAAACACTACCTTTTCTCTGAGAAGACAGTGTTTACAACAAAAAGCCTGAAGGGAATGATTATACTCACCTGAACAAATACAATAAGCTGTAGTTGTTCTGGTGACTATAGTGTCCCTTTAACCATTGACAAGCAGTTTAACCTTTTGAAGGTAAAAAGGAGCCTGGAGACTCCTGTCTCCATAACAATTTATGAGCTTAAATTGTGAGCTTAAGTTATAATAAGAATGGGAATGTCCCTCTAAATCAGTATTGTAGTATTTAGACATTTAGTTATATTTAGGATAAATGATTAAAACTTTTTTTTCTTATTTATATAAAGGAAATACATTTATTTTATATGAAAGAATAACATTTCCCAGTATGCACATGCAATCAAATGAGTTCACCAACATCTCCACTATTTCACAGATAATCACCACCACTGAGAAGTTACAGTGCAATTTGCACATCCTGAGGGATTTTTTTTCACAACCAGTATTGTGTTGTTAAAAGCATCATGTATTGTAGTGTTAAAAAAACATGATATAACATAGTATATGTAATTGATCTAAAATTAACAATCTACTCAGCAACTCATCACCTTGTCTGCCTAACACATTTTAAATATAAACATGTATGATCACTTCTTATAATAACATCACAATGTTTAAATATACAGTGTTTGGAGTTTTTTTTTTCTTTTTGAATTGATGTTAGCGATGACATAGAAAGAGCAGGCGTGAAGACAGGAAATATATTACAATAAACAATATTCTTATTTTGGGTGCAAAACAGTTCATTAACTTAGTGATTTAACTTAGATACATACATACAGTTGCAATCAAAATTATTCAACCCCCATTGAAAATATTGTTATTGTCAAAATTTACAGACTTTCAGCTGCTTGCAATGAACATCAAACAAAAGCTATTGAAATAGCTCAACGCAATGAACGCTTCAAATGGTTTCCCCAAATTCAGCTGAAAATGCAGCTTTTTATTGACTTCACCGGTCTCAAAATTATTCAACACCCTGAATAAAATCCCTCGCAACAGCTCACATTTGCAAAACAGGTGTTGTCTCAAGCACACCTGATGCAACTAATCAAGAGCTACATTAGTTGCACCAGGTTTTCTTGAGCTGGAACACTTAAAATACCTGAACTGACTTAGTTAGAAATACAGTTGCAAGAAAAAGTATGTGAACCCTTTGGAATGATATAGATTTCTGCACAAATTTGTCATAAAATGTGATCTGATCATCATCTAAGTCACAACAATAGACAATCAGTCTGCTTAAACTAATCACACACAAAGAATGAAATGTTGCCATGTTTTTATTGAACACACCATTTAAACATTCACAGTGCAGGTGGAAAAAGTATGTGAACCCCTAGACTAATGACATCTCCAAGAGCTAATTGGAGTGAGATGTCAG